GCTTCAATATCACAAAAATCTGAGTATGGTTTTGTATATATACTCGGCCTCTTCTAAAATTAAACACAAATTATCCTTATTTCACAATAATAATTAAGTTCTTTACTTCAGCAAATTTTCATGTGCTGGCTGTCCTTTTTTATTTTTCAAAGTCATGATTATCTAAAATTAATTTTGTTCAGCTATTTGAATTCTTTGTCATTCTCCAGTCCTCTGAAAGTAAAACCCCCATGACCAAATTTGTTTTCTATATTATTCTTTTCACATAACAGAATCGACAGGCAAACAAGTAAATTGCATATGGTCCTCAGCTTCATAATATCTAATATAATCATAATAACAGAACAAATGGTAAAGTTATATAAAGAAATAAGAATGAAAAATACAACCATCAAAATAATAACAACAACAATGATAATAATAATGATGATAAAAATAGTAATAATAATAATAATAATAATAATCATATTTGATAATCTCTCAATAATAGTTTGAAATGTAAATGTTGGAGAAAATCCTTACTCTAAATTTTTTCTCTCTTAAACCCAAAATAATAAATACACATGCACAAACAGGTATAAACTCTGGCCTATACGTGCTAAATGAGTGAAAATGCACGCGCATTAATTCCACAAATCTTCCTTTTAAAAGGTCATGCAAAAAATAAAGAAAGCAAACAGCAGGAATCTATGGACACCAGACAGAACAAACTTTCAACTTTAAAAAAACATTTTTTACAATTGTCTCTCTCTCACCATACAAGGCAACCCCCCCCCCCCCCCCCCCCGATACATTTTTAGAGAAAAATAAATACAAAATCCTGCCTCTGCCTTATATCCTTGTTTCTTATAGCCAAGTCCCAGTACTTACACACAACAAAATAGCTAAAATGCTGGAGCTTTATTCCCCCCCCCCACTACAAATAAATCACACATTCATATTTGGCCAGGACATCCACAAAGTGAGGGCCATATGAATGTTCATGGTCTTTATCACAACTATTTTATTTTACTTTTGGAAATTCGATTGAAAAGGGGAGTAAGAAAGGGTAAAAAGAAGAACAAGCTTTAAAAATCGACTGAAAGAAGTTACTTCACTTTTAGTTAAAAAAACCAAAACAAAACCAAACAAAACAAAAATGACATAGATTTATCAAATGCACACCCCTAAACAAGCCCCTTTCTTTTCACCCTGTGGACATTTCTGTCAAGAAGTAACGTCATTTAAGCTGGAAATGGACTGCCAAAAGCATTCAAAGTATCAAAATAAACCGACTACATCGGCAAATCTGTACAAAAGAAAGAAAGCGGAAAAAAATCACTTTTTCTTTCTACATTCACCGCATGAGAAACACCTGTAAGATCCAGTAGAGAAAGACAAAATAAGCCTTTGATTATAAAAAAAATGATATTCAAGAAACAAGAAATAGGTGAATCATATTTTCGTGATTATTGCGCAAACCATAATTAAATCTATGCTTTTCTGTAATATTTCGTACAGGTCACCATATATGCAATTCACCTGATTACAGTAATCACCTTCAATGACAACACAGTTCACTTCATTCACACATATATATTAGTTCAGACGGTAAATGACGTGTAATTAGAAACACCCAGAAAGAGGATATCAAATAGCTTCAATGAAATCTACTCCATAAACAACTGATGTTGGTGTTTGGCATTAACTATCAAGAAATATAAGGTTTTATAACTTGAAGGTAATGAAGCAAAGGAGCATTAAAAAGAAAGCATATTACAGCTTTAAGCCATACAGTACATAAATATAATGACACAAAGAGGTTAAGACTTTCTGAGGAAAAGTCCTGAGAGGCAACAGCAAAATGTAAGCAGTATTATGAAACTCATGAACAGGCGACATCATTTATGGAAGTTGTAACTTAAAAAACAAACAGGTCAGTGCAGCAGTGATTGCAAAAGCTGCTCTGTTAAAAATGGAATGTGACATTAATACAATGGTCATTGAATAAGCCCAAAAGTAAGGGGACAGCCCAAGGTGATTTCTTCTACTCTACTCCACCCACCCACTACAAGCTACAAAACTGGAAACACCAAAGTTGTTTACAGAAGAAAATTTACAAAGCTTAAATAAATCTAACAATTTTTCAGGACAGGTAACAATCAAGTTTTTCAATTATTTAACTTCATAATTAGCATTATAAATAACATTTCTATTCATTGCTTACCCATAAGAACTTTAAACAAAGCAAAATTTTAAAAATTCCAAATCAATATGACATAAATCAAAATACATGGCTTTCTCAAATAACTTTGTACACCAGAAATTACAATTTTTTTTGCCCCAGCATAAATAAGCACAGGAAATAAGATAGATGTAAATAGTATTTTAACATCCATACTTTCTTTATATTTTCTTGGTCCACCTCGGGTAAGAAAATGTCTTTCAAAAACATTGTTCCAATAAAAAATATAAAAAAAACAACAAAGAAAAACCCCAAAACCCCACTTAACAACTCACACACATAACACATTTTTGTATTGTATTTGTGAAATCATTATTAAAAAACCCCAACAACCACAGACCAGTCAATACTGACAACAATTATTGGTGTAACCCTGAAACTAAATATAAGCAACAATGCAAAATAACTTCCCTGTTTACAATGTTACTTACCGACATTATATCGAAGACCTAACTCTTCTCATATCTAATTTCTAATCTACATTCAAAAAGAAAAACACTCCAATAAAAACTATTTGATTTTAGGTCTCAGTTCCGAAAACAATTTGATTTCAACTCTTTGTGGTAAAATGGAAATTAACTTTGGCTACATGAGCTCCTCCTTTTCACCATTTCAAGATGAGCTAAATCATTCTAAGAGCTGCCTCTCAATCAGTAAGTAGTACAACACTATAGCAAAGATAGATACATAGCTGATTAGAAAAAAAATAAATTAAGTACCAGATTCCATCATCTTACAAAAGAAAGCCAAAACAAGTTCAAAGCACATGCAAAACCTTTGCATCAAAGTATGGCCATTCTGAGGCATCACTCCACTAAAGCCATTAAGAAAATCAGTAAAAGATCTAAAATTTCATAAGGAAAAAGGCTGCATACTTGCTTAATACTAATACATAAGGTGACACGGGACAACATTTCCCAAAGTCCTTTTTGTATATTTTGAGTTAGATATAATGATATTTTAAAACATTTTTTGCTATGCTGATTACTGCACTTTTCAAATTTTTAAACTATGGCAAGTACAGGCCAAGCAGCAGCCTTTTGTTTAGAAGCGAAGTCTATGACCACATAGTGACTGTAAACTTATTTCGCCCACTGGCTCGGATCAGAGCATTGGAACAAATGAAAAGTTTCTGTGAATGTCCTCTCTTTCTTCTCACAGCTTCACTAGTCCCTGGGATCTGATACAAAGGGAAGAAGGTACAAAGGTGTTGACAAGAGAAGAAATCAGCAGCACTGCACCCTATAACACAATGGAAGCTTGAGAGTGACAATCCCTCTAGAAAAATTGCTTCAAAGTCTAAAGCTAGAGGACCAACTTCAGCACAAGAACTCAAAACAGAGCTAGAAGCCAGTCTTTGAAGAAATACATACCAACATGGGTAAAGCAGAATAAAATTCTCAACCCAGGTACGTACAAATTAACAGAAATCAGAAGCCAGGAAACAAAAGAGAATAGCATCATTGCCAGCAACAGAAATTTTTCAGCAACTATGGTGTTGGAAAATGAAAACTGTGTTGGGCTGACAAGAAAATATGCAACATGACATTGTAGGTACTGAGGATTGCACCAAAAAATCTGTATGCAACTGCAGTAATTACAACCAGTCCATTCGGCGCCATAATGTGATAGCTAAACATGTACTGTCTCTGTTTTCAGCAACTCTTAAAATATGGGAAGGGTGGGGGTGGGGGATTAGATCTAGTACCCTGAAACAAGAGTTCTCTCGGATATAGAGGACAGACCTTTTTTTAGCACAATGACGTTCTCGAAAACTATAACCCCTAATGGTCAAACAGGACAAGATTAGATATATTAAATTAATGACTGGCTTTTAAAAAATTGAATCTCAACATTTGTGGGGACAAAACAGAAGGCATTTTCACACACCTTTACTTTCTTGAGGTTTAAATTAAAATGAATACAAAACATATAAAACATAGCCATTCGGTAAAATAACAGCTTGCTGCTATGCGGGACAGCACTTAAAAGGTTTCATTTTATAGGTTTCCTTCGGTTTGTTTATATTGACAACCACCCCCCCCCCTAAGAAAAATAAATTATAACTCATGCACAAAACAAAAATAAATATTCAGGGGAGGGGAAAAGGTAAAATGTCAAGAAAACCTTTGGTGTAGTCCTAGATGTCGACTTAAATCACCAAAAGCAATAAATCACAGGAAAATCAGTTTCAAACTCTCAGTATCTGTACTACAATTTAGGTCAATTTTTGGAAATTCAAAATTCAATCCCCAACCACCACCTTCCAATGATGAAGACTGCTGAAACACAAGACAGATGCACATTCAAAAGATTCTTTAAAAAAAACAACAATATGAGCTCAAAGGCAGTGAACGTTTTGACACTTATTTATAAATATATATATATATATATAAATATAAAAGAACAAAAACAAAATTAGTTTAGTTTGGTAAGGGTTTTACAGCGCTCGCACCTGCATACAGTCATTTGAGAACAAACCCCCCACCCCCGGCCCCCAAAACCCCTTATTAGAAAAGGATGCACCCAACTGTACACCATGGCAAGGTAAAAAAAAAGCCAAATTCTTATGCCATAAACCTTCTTACAAACATCAAAGTTGACTTGATAACTCGCAAAAGAATAACTGAAGTCGAATAGATCTCAAGAATAGAAACATATTACCTTTTCCCTTGAGAGTGTCGTACTAATTTATAGCCCCCCACCCCCCACCAAATGTACTTGTTCACTTCAGAAACTAAAGACCATGAATAACAGGTTCTTTTTCATCTTTACATTCAAGTCCCTACTTGATGTTTTCATACTGCAACAATAATTCCATAAAATGTGTTTTGAAGCAAATTGAAACAACAACCAAATGTCCAGCACTTTTGGAAATAGTCAAAGGTCTAACCACCTCAGTGATCCAAGAAATATTACTGAAACAAAAATACACAAGTAATTAATGCACCATAAACAAGGTGAGGATCAGTTCTCAGCTCATGATTAGTGCAGAAAACGTTTGAATATCAAACAATATCAGGGTTCAATCAACTAGCAAATACAGTTAATAACCCCACCAAGACAGTGAAGATCACACAAAACATACTTGAGCATTAGCATAAGAAAAAAACATAGTCTCTATATACATTGTGCTACATTACGAGTAACCTCACAACTTCTCTATCTACATATTATTGGGACTTGTAAGTAACTCATGATTAGTTAAAGCGTTTTTGTGGTCTCAAGAAATTAGCCATTTGCATCATGCTTTCAAGGCATAATCTGAACTACATCACAGTCAAAACAAAAATTTCAAGAAATACTAGCAAAACAAATTGTGTGCTAAAATATCTCTAAGCCTTGTACAGTAGTGAGCGCTTACGATTCCTGAGCCAAAGAATGAGAAAAGTGTACGGCATTGAGTGAGTGGAATCATACCAGTGTCAAAGAAAACGGCCCATACTGGAAAGAAAATATTCCCCACCTACTTGCACCCCTGTAAAATTAAAGCCAACACAAGCAGAGAGTTGTTGATGACCAATCTATCACATTTGCCTGAACATATTATTATTAGTTTATTCTGTGTCTTGCAGCATTTCAAGTACAGAGTCCCTTCCTATAGTGTTTCATTAAAAATACTGGATCAAAGGCCACAGCAGGATGTTTGGAAGGTAAGGGATGCTAAGCGCAGACCACTGTACCACTTGGCATTATGACAGGGAGCAGAGCACAGAGCAGTCCTGTGCCTAAATTTGGGTAAGCGGAAAGATGTCTTTGGCCCCAGGCATAATTTGAAAGTTATTTGAAGTGGTGAACAATTTCCGAGCCAACAAACATTGCAGCTCAAGAAAGTGAGTTCTTGATCAATACATTTGACTGAAAGTACCCGTTGCATAGAGACACCATTAGGCTTGTTATTGAATACCAAAGATAGGGAGGCGTTATCTCTGATACAATTCCAGTTGAAAAATGAGGTAATCTTGTCTTACTCCATGCCGAACACCATTCACAACATTACAACCTGACCAGAAACCAGGGCATTTTCAAACACCCCAGATTTATCCACCTGCCTATATCTAAATAATATAGACTTCTAGATGTAAAAAAAAAAAAAACCCATTAAAAAAAACAACTCTTCATGTGTTGTAAATTCTGGTCGGCAGCATGAAGCAAATTTTTGGCAGGGCTGTTTAAACAGCTTAATAAAACATCTTTCTCTGATGTCTTTTCCAAAAGATGATCATCAAATCATACATTCAATACAAGAAAAAAGCTAGTACTTAAACATTTAAGCCTTTTCAAGCAAAGGTCTTGAAGCCACCACAGAATTCTAAAGCTACAATCTCTACACATACTTCTACCACAAAAAAAACAACTCTATACATTTTTCTACAACCACAATCTCTACTCTCTGGTCTAAAAGACACAGCCTTCTCAGTCTCTAGTCACTTGCGAATCCTATCTTTCGCAAATCATACATTCTGCTTATGCCAGCAGTTACAACAATATATCACATCAAGGCCAATCATTGCACAGTGGTCCGCATTTTGGTTTTGTGTGTGAATTTGATTTTCTCCTCTCTGCCACCATCAACACAGACTCAGTACTTCTTGTCATGAAATCTGGCTGTCACTTTGGGTCTGGCAGATGACTTGCTGCAGCCCTTGCCTTTCCTGGTTCCCTGAATAAATCTTTGAGAAGACCTTCAACCTGTGGCGAAGTAAATCGAAATCTCATTAACTTTTTTACTGTGGTCTAATGATTAAAAGTCAATAAAAATAGCTAATTAAAAACAAGTCTTTGTACTATCCCAAAGTGTTGTTGATTGGTAAGTAGTATAAAGAAACCTGTTCTGCACTCTGAAAAAAACTGGAGCTTTCAGTCATGTACTAAAGGGATCATTTATCTTTCACACACCTTTTCCTTGTTTAAATATGAAATCAAAATTAAAATACAATTTCCTTTAGAACAAGGATTACAGATAAAGTTCTTTCACTCTTCTGAGAAAAAAAATTACTCACGTTTTACTATTTACTTCATCACTGCATTATTTTATACATTAGAGCAAACTGATCAAATAGAAAAAAATAAGCACACCACTCATGTAAAGGAGCCAATTGGCAATGAACAAAAAAATTCTGAAATTTTCGTACTTAGTGGCAACGCTCAAGCCAGTACTAAAAATTTACAGATCATATTGTTTAATATTAAGGTTTGAAAAAAAAAAAATGCAATCTGCAATGCAAAAACGAAGATTGGCCTGAAGTCAGTCATAAACCAAACAATTTCAGATATCCAGCTCCACCTGGAAAACAAACATCTCTTACAAATGAAAGTCCAAAGATGTGATACAAAGGGCACTTAGTATTGGAAGTATATTTTGAGGCCATATAAGATAATACATTTCATTAAGTTTGTTTTAACTTGTTTGAGAGAGAGAAAAGCAGGATCACCTTCTCCTTGTTCTTACCGTTAGAGAACCAAGAGACTAATGTTTGACCGAAGAATAATTTCGAATGCCTAAGCATTGAATAATCACTTTTGCTTAATGACACAGCCCTCGACTTTACCTCTTCAAGCAGATGTATGTTAGATTCCAGAACACTGTGCAGCTGTCGGATGACAGAAGCGTGGGTTTCAGTCTGAAGCCAGTACAAGTTGCCCATGGCACGATCCCTTCAACACAAAAGAATACAAATGTAGCCATAAAGCATTTCTTAAATCAAGATAAAGAGTGTCATGGTCCTGCCTCTGTTTACACACTTGAACATATCATAATTTTATGACCAGCATTAAAAGAATTAAAGTTGTACTGTTCACTAAGGCAATTGTGCGAAACAATGCAAGCCCTGGCAAAATCAAAATAAGATCTTTTAAAGTTCGAGCATGTTAACCCTCACGGCTAAAGAAAAAACCTTGAGAACACATTTCCCTTCAGCATGCCATTAAAGGTCATCTAAAATCTTACATCTCTCTTTGAGAAAACAGAGAGAGAGAAAACTGAACTACCATACATAATAAAATCAGAAGTAATGATCATTGAAAGAATATGAAGTTAAAAAAGTAACAGTATACCATAATTCTCAATGCATGAAGTGGAACAAAGTCATGGGATTCAACGAAAGAAGCAAGAAACGATGTTTTTTTTCATTCATTAACATTAAAATACATCTCCCAAAACCTAGTAACCAAAGTCACAAACAAAATAGCTAAAGCAGAAAGCAACTATAACTTATGCCCTTGCAAGCTATTTCTTCTCCTCTAAATTTCTGATTCCACACCTGCAACAGAGATTTGGAGGTATTTATCAAATAAAGGAACGTCAGTGAATTCATGAATATCTCTCGCCTCCCCTCTTTGAGAATGAGAGAGTGCAGGGAGATGTGTGCATGTGTGTAGGTCATTTTGTGTGAACATTGTACAGAGTAAATAGGTGTTATGAGAGTACATCATCGGGCCTATTCCAGATTTAGAAAAGTAATTTCTTCACATAAAGTTAGGCAGCCAAAGAGCGGATAATAGAATGAGTAGCATCCAGCCTCTAGGAACATGTGCCCTTACACAAAAGTAAAGTCCCGTTGCCAATTAAACTATAATTAATGCCCTGAATTTTCAAATAGCTGATAAACCATACCTGAAACTTCCTGAAGCATGTGGACCTAAAAATGATCCAACTTCCATTCGACTTTGCAACACAAGGATCTTATAAGTCAGTCCCATAGCAGACAGCATGAGGAAAAACACGCTGGAAACAGAAAGAAAGTCAGCAAATATGAAGCAAACACTCAAAAGTAGCAATGACAAGGAACAATTTTAATATTAACCAAATTGCTTTAAAACAAAAAAGGTTTCAGTGAAAGAGGAGTAAATTCTAAGAACAGCACTTTTAAATTTTTAAAAATCCATTGATAAATAAAAAAGTTACCATGATTTTTTTGTTGCTAAATGTTAGGGAACCTTTATAAAGAAAACTATGGCCAAAAGGTGGGATGTTTTTTTTAACAGAAAACTGTTCTTAAGTCAGAGGTGAATTGGAGTACAAGAATGAAATTTGGCACCCTCTGGTGATTTTTTGGTGCCGAATCTTGTTCTGATATCACTTTTTCAATGTCATTATTACTTTGTATCTTTAGGACTGAATTTGTGTGAGAATTTGTTGAATTAAGCGACACAGCTTGAACTGCCACCGATAGGGGGCACAGGCTTGTGAAGCAGTACAAAACTTTTGAAGTTTTCAACACATCTTTGCCTAAAAACTACATTGATCTAATTTTAATCATACTGGGAAGAAATTAGTTAAATTTACTTGGCCTGGCACAGAAAGGATATAATTTTGATCTCTAAAGAATCAGCGTGATTTTCCGATTACCCATTCTACAACTTAACAAAGCAGAATAAGGAAAACGTGCAATGGACTCATTGGAGATCTATTTAGTCTTAGGCAGCCAACAACATGTTGCCAAGTGATCACACACCTTTCGCATGGCAGGAGTCTAACTTATTCAATTTGTGACCCACTTCCTGGCTCTAATCTTTTATCTCAGGATGGGTGGTAATTTTAAGTTGCCACATAAAATGTACAACACACAGGGATCTGAAACTTTACAGCAATAAAGGAGACATGTGGGGTGCCTGTCTGGTCCACGTCCATGCAGCAGCTCCTCTTAGTTTTTGAAACACAGAAGAAATCACACAAACTTGACAATTTCTCTGATTCTAAAAATCTGTCTGCATTGTACACTACCATGTAGTCAGTTTTGCCTTTCCTCTGACTGGTTGCCAATTTTCATTCAATTTCGTCCACAAATTTTCTCGTAACTATACTTAGAAGAGAGCAACCCCTAATCCATAATGGCCCCAAAACTACCCCTCGTATGGAGCCCGATTTCCAGCCCAAAACACAGCAGGCGACTGACATTGCTGTCAAAAGTAGAGTATGGAACTTTTTGTCAGAACATGTTACGGACACAAAATATTAATAATGGCAAGGTAATTTAAAATCTAGCCCTCTTAAACATACACAGAACAGCCACTGCTGACCATATTTTACAAAAGAGACCAAAAGAAAAAAAACTAAAAACTTTTTTTTACACAAACATCATACTTAAAGCCTATTAGTACTATCGGCCCCGTATTAGATCAATTAGAGGACAATAAGAAAATTTTTTACAAACTTGGCTTGTAACAAAAATAAAACAATCTTCAAGAAAAATTTACTCACAGTATAGTGCATATTGCCAACAGCAGATTTGTGCGAGGTACTCTGAAACAAAAATGAGTAAATGTAAATAACAAATCTAGCTAATGAAAGTAACATTTATCTATACATAAAAAAACAACCGAAAACCAAACACAACACATGCTGTCAACACATTCAATTTATCCAAGTAAAATGAAATAAAGTTTTTAAAAAGTGATCACTAAATGCAGCTGGTACCAAATCAAACAAGCATCAGTCAACCTTTGTGCCTTCTGCAAAACATTTCTGGAGTCCACAAGGAGAAACTGAACAGTTCTAATAACATTCAAAATACAACATCTCTGTAACTCGCATCATTTAGTAGTTGGTAGATGCTCTGGTTTGGTTTGCTTCTTCTTTCCTATCAAACCTGTATCGTCATGATCTCTCCTTTTTTTTTATTGCCTACTGCTGTTTAACATCTTTAATCTTCAGCACCTATATGACCTTCCTTATTGTGTTGCAAATGCAGTAAAACTCTTACTAAAAGTAAAACTAAGTCGTATCTAAAGCTATCCAAATCTCACACATCTTTTCTTCGTCAAACATGGTAAAAAAAGTCGTGTAAAGTAATCTGAGGCCATTTAAATCTTTTTGAGCAGAAAATGACAGAGACAAAGTCTGTCTTGTAAAACTAAAGCCCTAAGGGGAAGGGACTTCTAAATTTAATGTCCATCTGCAATGGGTCCAAGGGCAAAGGAGGAGGAGTACATAAAAAAACCTCAAGCCAAAACAACCCAAGTTGAAGGGTACCCTGTTGATGATTGAAACCAGGATCATTAGCACTGTAGCCCAACATCTAACCAACTAAGCTATCCGAATATACTATTTTGAAAAGGTTCATTGACTACAAAGACAACAATTTTTTTTAAAATGGGTTACAATAGTGCTACATACTTTTGCAGTTTATAAGAAAAGGAACAAAAGGTCCGGAAAACACTCTTGCAGTTCAAACCTGAAAGATAAAAAAGAGGAAGCACAATATTAAAAACAATATAAATATCTTTTGCATTAACATATTGCCATATCTAACGAGGGCCTATTCACAAATGTTCAGCCGCCAACTTTTCAAGACAAAAAACCCCCCCCAGACTCCATGTATATGCTGCGGGTCAAGATGGAGGACCTTGGACAAGTAACCCACCTCCTCCAAACCCTTCACACACATTATTTTACATGCAATAAATTTAAACTATTGCAAGCAGACCTGCAACAATAATATAAGATATGTTTAGTAAGTCTCTCTATTCACAAATCCAGCTTTGAAAGTTCATCATTTTTCTTCAGCGGTGGCAAGTCAGTGAGGAGCAATACTACAAAACAGAGAAAACATTTTCCATCACAAACTGTACTTATGTACTCAGAATCTAAAAAACGTACAAAATATGTGTTTTACATACTCATCGGCAGCAGTGCAAATGATAATCACACATTTTTTCTTCAACATAGTCTTTCAGGAGTGCTATCACTTTCTGATAATTCTTGTATATTTTCATTGAAAAATCCTTTAACATCAGTCAGAACAACAACTATTGGAGACATTTTTTCTGCAACCGTAATAGTCATCTCTCGTCCATCATAAGCGAATGCATGACAAGAATGGAGAAAAAACCAACTACGCAGTCAAATTCTTTTGATTGTATATAAAATCAAGTCTTCTGAAATCAATAAATGATAACACAAAGTGCTACAAATTTACAGTAAAAAAAATTTCACAATGCAATGGAACCAGGCACTTGGAAGTATGAGGGCATGTGGAGTTATGGTATCATCTTAAAGCTTGTTCATCTATCTTGCTTTCAATGAAAAATATACCCATTTTTCTAGAACAGAAGTCAAGATATTTGCGATTGAAGGAGGTGATTTCAGCAATAAAATTATCGACAAAATGGCCCCCAAAGTTTGGTGACTTCCATAGTTGAGAGTCCTTAGAAACTAAAAACTTAGGTTTCTTGTGCCTTTAATCAACATTTTTCAGCAATTCAAAAAGAAATTTGTTTTTAGATGGATGTAAAAGGTGTTGAGTGAAAACACAAAAATTCAATAAAAATTCACGAAATAATGCAGGTTTCTTCAATTTCATTATTTTCACGACTGCCTGGTTTTACCACGATGCCTCACATATGACTTATGAATAAAAATGAAAACTAATTCAAAGAGTTATAGGGACATTTTTTAAAAAGTTGTACAAGAAGCTCCCGCTCTTAAACAAGCAAAAATCTTTACTACATTTCTGCCAACATTCAATTTACATATGACAAGAATATATTCTAAGCAACAAAGAGATACGCTTTGAAATTACAAAGGGCGGGGGGAAATCTAATCTGAACAACAACAAAAATTCGCTTTTGCAGTAATCTGTATCTCCATTCTAAATAATATAAGCTTACAATATGACTGCCAACAAAAGAAGGATGAGAAATCATAGTAAAATGCTCACACTGTTGGGTACGGTCTGACGGCGAACCCTTCGGTTCTGGTAGACGATTTACTTCTACTTCCACTCGGCGGCTACATCCAGTCACTGACGGGGCCAAGACTCGGTCAAGTACCTCATATGGATTCAAGTCATCCTCGGTTGTGTCACTTTCAGAGGTGTCTGGACTACGGTTATGACCCAAAATGGACGTGCCAGAATTGACAGGCAAACTGACATTGCCAGAAGTCTGAGGACACATTGTTTTGATTGAGTAATTAGAAGTACACTGAAACAAAAAAGTAGTTTTGACGCTCATATGACCTTATGCAGTTGTGAGTGCCGTAAAACCTCTACTAAAACTTTTAAAAAGTTGTTTAGTGTAAGAGACAGCTAGTCAGACAGAAACAGCAAAGGAGAAAAAGAAAAAAGAGAAGCAAGACCCACCAGCGGCACCCTCCAACCATCTGCAGGACTAGTAGTGGAAGTTTCAAGGCCAAGTATTTGTATTTGGGACTATATTGTTTTGGGACAAAAAGGAGAAAAACTGCACCTCAGTTCTTGACTTCAGAATTAGATTCACATATAACGAGACTTAGAGAGCCTCCAAGCTAACAAATGACCCTCAATGAAAATTGTGTGTGGACAGTATGAGCACTAGCATTAAAAAGCAGCCATTATAAAACTTAGCAGTAGTGACAAAGGTATACATACTGGAACATAAAACTATTCATGAGGAATACGAAAAGAGGAAACACTGAATCCCATCACAGATATAATTTTCCACAGCAGTTACACGTGTAAACAACAAAATTCTCCGCTGGCATACACTGTCATTTACTTCTTACACATGGTTTGAAACTTACCGAATCATGATTGAGTTTCCACAAGGTGACAAGTTTTTTGTACGTCGAGTCTCTGGATATAAATGACCCAAACACATACTGGGGAGAGATGACATCGATGTATCAAAAGAAGCCAAACATAAGGGCCTATTAAGCCTTCAGCTTGTTTCATTTATTTTCTACAGAAAGGATAGTTGAAAGCTTTCATTTTGAAACTGATGTCATACCCAATGACCCTATGATTTTAAAGTTAGAATTTACTGAAATAACTTGTTTAATAAATTCACAAGCCTGTAAACACACGAGACTAAAATTCCTCTACAATCAGTATCAAACAAAACAAATTTTTACACTGATATTTAATCTATGTAGTAAGCATACATACCTAGTCGAACTTACTCCAACAGCCACCTGTCTAACACCTGTACAAATAGCCCCTTCCCACTTCTCCCTTTGCACCTTTTCTATAAAACAACTATACTATCTGCGACGTCCACAATTCTCCACAACAATAGTTGAACATCTTGGACGATTTCAACTGTACAACATAATCCATTTGACTGCCCATTCAAAAAGTCATTCCATAGATAGTATCAAGCATCATTCTCTTCTTACAAATACATCAGCACATATATCAAAGTACTAGAACCTCCTGACGTTACAAAACACAAAAAAAGCAAACCTTTTGGTCCGCAGTTTGAATGCCTATGGCATTTGGAATGAAGAGAGCCAACTTCTCACGCGTGATGCTTATGACTCTTTCCAATGGAATTTCAATCTGCAGATAGAGACAATTATCTATGTAGATGGTACATAAGCACTGTCTATACTAATCGAGACATCTTTTATTTAAAATTTGGTAAAAATATAAATGAATTCTATTTCTAGAATCAATTGAATATAGCGCACAGTAAAATAGTTCGATATCATGGCATGGTGCCACGCATTCAGATCGTACAAAATCAAATCACTCAAGTCATTCAATAGATCAAATTCTCTCACAAGCACACCCAGATGCAGTAAGTAGATACAAAAACATTTTCCAGCAAAATGGTTTTGTCTGCCTCAAGAAGTTGTCATAAAAAAAAGTGGTCGATTAATTCACAGAAGTAGGAATGTTGCATATAAAGAAAAATTGTCTCGATACATTTTACATTTTTCTTGCGCCTCAACTGGCAATAAGATTACATGCAGTATCATTTACAGCCTACATTTATTAAACTAAACATAATAACTATTTTCAAAATGTCTACATAAATAGGCTGTTATCAATATAAATAAAGCAGCTATCTAATCTTTAAACCATTAGCAATTAAGAGACTGAAATCTCACGTTATACCAAAACCCAACATATATCACAGTGAGAATAACAAAAATCCTCAGAGAGCCATAACACAATCCAAGACAAAAGGTTCATCAAAAACCTTATCAAAGCAGAAAAACATGTCTCTGACTTATGGAAAAAAATCAGCGAAAGTGATTTCTGACAGGATCTTTCTTTTGTTTAATTCCACACCATCCTCCACAACAAAACACTTTCACCACCATACACAAACACGCTGACGTAGTTCATACATATACAACAACAAAGCAGATAAAAACAGGAGGCCAAAATACTTACGAGCCTGCCTCTCGCTTTAATTTTAGAGTAGAAACAAATCCAATTGTGTGAGACATACATCTGGCCCTGAAGCAAGATATCTCCTTTAAATGCACAGGAAAAACCTGAAATATAAAAAAAAGAAACATAATTAGCACAAATTCTGAAAATGGAAACCCTTCCCTGTTGTCATACGAGTAAGAAACAGGAGTAGGGCAACAGACTAGCATAAAATTATCCCTGTATAAGAACAAAAACACACATTTATATCTATATTTTTTGGGGGTAAGAGTTTTACGGCACTTGCAACACAATAAGGTCATATAAGTGCCACAGATTAGAGATGTTACAAGGGAGTAACAAACACAAAAAAGGAGGGGAGATAAAGACGACAGATGTATGATAAGAAAGAGGGAGCAAACCACACCAGAGCATCCGCCCACCACCCACACGCAATTATATGAAATGTTCTTTCGTTTTGAAACTCACAAAATATGTCCATATCCCGTCAAGCCTTAAGCACAAAAGAACTACAGCCCTGGACTCATTAAAAACGATTTGTAAACACTTGACTGCAAACTGAAGGTTCTTCACAAGTTCAATCATCCAAGCATGTCCTACAACTTGACTTTATTTAACCTGCTACCCTTTTACAGTAAGCACCATTCAAAGAAAGAGTTATCAGATGATAGACATCGGCATCTATGGTAGTGGTTATGAACTTCGTTGTCATACATAGATACAGGAGTTCAATTCCCGTAAGGGGATGTTTTTTTAATCAAGTACTTTCGTCTGTCTGGTGGGACATTGTATCAGTCTCAGCTTGGGTTGGCCCTGATAGATAGAGTAGAAGCAGCCTGCCTCCTAATGAGGGCATAAAATGTCTGCAATTACATTTATCTATAGCTAATGGACACTCTTTCTAAAGGGAAGTCAAACAACAGATTTGAAGTTTCACACAAAAACTCAATTATTTTTTTCTTTTTTTCTAAGGAATAAAATAAGGACACAAAGCAAGCCTCAACAGATAGCAAAGAGTACAGGCTTACACTCAATGGGATACTCCTCCACTGGTGTGGACTTGAACAGTTTGTGAAAACGCAACGTCCGTGACTTGCTGACATTTTGAGGAAGGTCCTGCACAGAGACATGACAAACTCATATGAAGATAACAAAAATTGGAAGAAAGTCAAACCAGGAAATTTTTTTTTTCAACTAAAAAAAAACTGCAGTACTTGTCAGAACTTCTTTAGCACGAAAGAAACAGTTTGAGCAAGTTCAAATTACACAGACCAACATATAAGTTGTTATTTGTAAATAGAGCCTTCACCCTGGTGTCCTGTAGGAAAAAAAAGGTTAAAAAAAGGAGCAGTTTCCAGTTCACTGAGACATATATTTTTAATATGATCCCACTTTGAAAGTAAATACACTTATATTACTCCCACTTTGATGTCAACTGCTTAAACTTGTCATACTTTCAAAATCTCTCACTGTTTCCTTTGAAAAACAACATCTCACAAGCTTACCGATACATCTGGGACTTTGTTGATAGGTGTTTTGGGTCCCGGACTTTGGAAATGAAAAGGAAAATGTAACAATTTAGAAATACATTTTTGTTTTAAAAATAAGAACTAATCAAACAGAGTAGTACAGTAAAATAAAAGCATATCAGCCATCCTCTGAGTTTTTGCTTTCTTTGGTGAGATCCTGACAATCTAGAGTTTCTTACTATAGCTCAGTACAAGAGAAGCACAAACAAAATGATGATATTTTTTTTACAATAGTTTTCAAACATCTCCAGCCACAAAAAAAATTAACTTGATTCTGTAACTGGTTTCATTTCTATAGCAGTCATAGCATGAGCACATGTACATGAACTATTGCAAAATACGTAGTAGGAAAAGCTACTTTTATTAACAAAAGTCATAGAGTAACGAAGACAAACTGATCAAACTGAAACAGCATGACCAGAGAATACATATATATATACACGGTCAATACTCTTCAAATACATGATATATATATCTAAATGCTTTCAAATGTACATACCCGTTTTCATCTTCTTAACATTTACTACACATCGGGCAGCTCATTTACATTTAGGTATTCCACTTGAAGATCTCCAGTCAGAGAAAGAAAGAATGAAAACTTATTTCCGCCTCCTTTGCCTTATTAATTCATTGCATTTAACATTCACCACTTTCATGAAAGTGACATGAAAATGAAATCTCAGAGAACATTGGAAGTTTTTTTGGGGGGTTTTTTAATAAAGAGGAAAAAGACACTCACCTGCTGTCTGACTTGTGTTCTATGTTAGTGGAGCTCGAGCCATTGGCAGACTTCCGATAATCTGAAAGCAAACAAAAGCTTTGATAAAGTCTAAAGAAGAAAAAAAAACATATTTTACAAATGTGTGAGATAATCTCATCAAGGAAAAAACCACATCCAAACTTCTTGGACAAAATGATTGTCTTGATACAGACAATAATAGAAACAAGTCAGAACTACCCCAAGGTAGGGGGTGCTTCCTCACTTTATTCAATTTCATTTTCTAATTTCAGTATTAAAAAAACAAACATTCAGAAGAGTTCAATGTCAGTATTCAGGAGCCGAACAGTTTGAAATTGGGCAAGGTAACAAACAATCAGAAATTTTGCACACATGAAGTTAGAAAAACATGCTCCTGAATAACTTTTAACAAAGCACAGGAAATTATTCATAATTATTACAAAGTTGGCGAGTAAAACTAAAAGGGGCCAAATTAGAAATTCTAAACAACCTGTCTTTGGAGAAACTGCAGAGGTAGCATCTATGCCAGCAACAAGTGGCTCCCCCATAAGTGTGATCTCAGCAGGTATTTCCACTGTCCCAGGAACATCAACAACCCCACCTTTTCTGAAAGAAGCAAAAACCATGATATTATATTTAAAGAAAAGTTCCCTTTGTGCTTCAGAGCATACAGAAGGCTTATAAAGCTGGAGCTTACCATCCCAGCATCATGTTAGTGTATTAAATGTTAAACCTGCAGTTCTAAACAACTGGCATCAAATTTGCACTACAGCAGTGTGAGAAAAATTCAAGTCAATAAATGTCAAAATGTAATCAAAAGTGTTCATTTCATTAAGTCAGTATATAAGATTTAATGCACATACAGGTGACACACAAATTAGTTCACAGTGGGCATGAAAATCCTCACAGTAGGCCTATACTAAATTTTTGTTCTTGATTAAGAGAGTCTAAATTTTAAACCAAACATTTTTTGCAAAGAAGCCTGAACATAATGCGTCAGCTTGCACAGTTTATTCTGACTTCATCACAGTAACACAACATTTTCAGCAGATCTCAGATTCTGATAAAACTGGAGTGAAAGTGAATTTGGTATCTATATTTCAAATGTTTTTATGGGTTTTCGATAGTGAATTATATTTATAAGGTCCCTATAACAATAACATAGAAGAATGCATGGGCTTGACTGAATATTTTGTCCTTTTCAAATGAGATGAAAATATCACATTACCTTCATGTGCCAGTGTACAAATTAAGTGTCGCTAGCAAGCACTTGCGTGCATTTAATTAATTAAGTGAAACTGCAATCTACCGAGACATAACATGACTATTTGTAAACATTTGATTATACTTGGCGTGTGTAACATGCGTGCATGTACGAAAGTACGTTTAATATGGTTAAGAATGAGAGGGTATAGTATGGATACCTCTGTAAATGTTGTAAAATAAGATTGACCTTTAGAGGATGTGTTACAAGAACCATAAAAATGAAACTGTACTGCTTCCAAATAAGTTGAAATTTACACGAAATTTCTGCCTTTGCGCACAACAACCTCCTCTTGTCTTGACCACTAACAGCGTGAACCTCACTAATATTATACATGATAGCTTTCCATAAACAATTCAGCACTACAACCTGTCATAATGGTAAGGGTAGCATGCTTTCATTCCTCCTATCAGCCTCAGCTGACCCTCACAGACCAGGTCAAAAGCATGTTGCAAACGGATGACGTGTTACCGAAAACTCCCGAAAGACTCATGAAATACCCCCCCAAAAACCCCATATACAAAGAATATCTGTTAGGTATTGGTCACCTCATGTAACTGTATGCTGTTTAGATCTCTTTAATACTGTATAAAAATAAATGTTTATAAAATCTCTGTTGAAGAACTCTGTGTTTATTTGATAGATAGGACATGTATCTTAGATCTAGATTCGAGATCTCATTTATTCTCATTTAGATTTAGATAGATAAATTAACGAAGATGTACAACCTTCATTTTACCAGAAGGTTGTAAGTTCCCCTAGATCTCCATGAGGACAGTATATATAGCTCCATCTAAGTGAATGAAAAGCTAACAAGTTTTGTCTAGATCTAGATTGTCAAAGTCAAGAGATCAATAAACACAAAATAATTGAAACTGAAACCCAACTAAAAAGAAAATAAATAAAAAACAAAACAAAAAACCCCCAACAACTTCATATCTGCACAAAACATTGAACACTGACACAAACACAATAAAAGCAAGTAACAATCCGAAAACCCAAAGGCAAAAAAAAGACAACTAATACTAAAGATATAAATTCAACGCATCATTCATCTTTGTATAGACAGTAAGAAACAGACTACAAAATGGCTGACCTGCAGCACTTCTGTGGTCCGACACAATGAATATGTATAGCGTAGTGTATTCAGTGTGTTTTCATGCCGCGTTGGGGGGATGGCGTCTGATTTCCAAGAAATTTGGTCACATGACATAATTATAAAAATATGATGGGGAACTCAATTCTAGGGTAATAAAATTAAGTGAACATCCAAATAACAGGATCTGTCCACTAAACGTCGGTGTGGAGTCTATTTAATGTAGTGAAAACACCACACACAGGTAGTGTATACTATGCTATATATGGCGACTTTAGATAAGGAGTTCCAGGAATTGAGTTTCGATTTCCAGGAACTGAGTTTCAGCTCACTTTCACTTAAAAAAGAACATCCATAAATACACACACACATAATATCTTAATTAATATCTATCTATATGTGTCTGTATAAAAAAAACATATATGAAGCTACAGCAAACACCTAGCACACTTCTGAGATTGGCCCAAATATAGAGGGCGTATTTACGCCATCTATTATAAGCTTCCCTCACCAGTTGACAAGATCTCACCACGGCCGGCCCGCTTTGCCACTTAGCGGGCGATGGGCTATAGATGTCACTAGGTTTTATCGCCGACCGATTGGGTTGTGTGTGCGTGTGTGGGTATAACTTTGAGGAGAAGGTTAATTTGTCAAACCAGAATTGCTGAGACTGTTTATAAAAGATAACACTAAAAAAAAAAAAAAAGAAAAAAAAAGAAAACCCAAACACGGCAAGATCTCGTCAACAATTACTGGCGAAGGAAACCCCGGAAGACAACAAAAATAGATGGCGGAAATACATCATCCATATTTAGGCTTATCATAGAGGTGTGCAAGGTGCTCGCTGCAGCTTCATGTAAAAAAAACTGTGAATCCAGCAGAGGCAGGTGGAACATTCTATGGAATTGCTTCCACAGTTTCTGCTACAAATTTCACAGAAATATAAAAGACATTACTTATACTACTATGAAAAAAGATACAATCAGAGGCAGATCGATCAAGACGGAAACAGCTAGCCAAGTCTAACATTACTATCGCCTCGAACAAGCCAATGAACTCTGAACCTGAATTCACAAGCCAGTATGCATGCTCAGTGAGTTTTCGGTTTTCCGGGGGTTTTCATTAAAACGTCAAACCGGGCTGCAAACTAGTCGATCCGAGCAGGCTGTTGTCCAGTTTGGAACAATTTATTCACATTTGCTATGAGGGCTAAGGTAGATAATCTAATGGTTAGCTCTTATATAAGTAACTGTCCTACCCTCAAAACCCACAGATATTCAACATTATAACACAACATACCAATGTATTTACAAGATTGCCTTGGCCCGAGTTGTTTTGATTTTGGGTTACTGGGAGGGAGCAGAGTGTCCTACAACAATTACAACATAGTACATGGAACAACCACTTTGACTTTTAAAGCAATTGAAGTAACTATTCGGACTCGAGACGAAATTATATTCGGACCCTGAACCGAGTCCAGCATGACGTGCGTTCCGATTTCTGACCCTTGCTCCTAAAATTTCCAACATTTATGAATTTAAAATGGCAGTTCTAAGGTAACTGACAACTCAGGGTCTTTCCACCACCACTATAGCATCATCATTACTTCCATTATAACCATATATTTGTCTTTTGAACAAGTTTAATTTCATTTTGTTGTGTGTTAAAGTTTTTCTGTAATTTTTTTTTTTTCACATCGCACAAAACCGACAGCCGTGGTCTCTTCCCAACACCTCTTCTCCCTGCAAGCCGAGAGTGCGAGATCGTTACGCGCAAAATCATTGATCAACATAAATTAACTTTTCCCCCTGCAAGGTCAGCTCAACTTAGTCGTTCTGTTCATACTAATGATGTAGGGAGGGCCAGTTTAGATAGATCTAGATCTGGTAACTGGATTAAGCTCACGTCTCGACTGTTATCATTATAATTGACAAAAAGTTCATACATGCTAGAAATATTTAGGAACAAAAGTTGGAAGTCGGAACGGACGTCATGCTGGACTCAATTCAGAGTCCGAATACAGAGCCTAATTTTTCTCCGAATAGTCACTTCATTCGATTCCGAAATAAGGAGAAACAAGTCTTGTTTCACACTGAGTGAGAATAGCCAATGCTGGCAAGTCTCACCCAGGGTGAGAGGTCGATCGCATTTTTATTCTCAACCGGGGTGAGGATAGCCACTTCCAAATACAGCAGGAAAGCGGAGAAAAAATGAAAGAAGTCAAGGTCATGAAGGGAGTGAAGCACTTACCGTGTGCATCAAGCTCAAGGGGCCCCCGAAACAAAGCACCAGGTAAAACTGTGTAGCCTATATGTAGAGATATACATTATACTGAGACTATAGTATGTGCCCGGTTACCGTATACGTAGACACATTCGGACTAGAGTCCGAATAGAGCTGGCCTACTAAAGCAATAGAAGGTAAGATTGAAGAATACCGGACCAGCGGACTGACTTTGCCTATGTCTCAATTCATAATTTTCCCGTTTTTTATATCTCTCAATGGAGAATCTCGGACCGGTAGATCTATTCATTACAATTTTGTCAGGGGGGAGACCCCCCTGAACCCCCCCCACCCCCTCCTCCACCCCGTGACCTACCCCACTTTTTTGCGTAATAATGTACGAGTGGTCCGGTATTCTTCAATCTTCCCAAGCAATAATTTAGCCTCTTCTATATTATATAGATACCTAGATCTAGATCTAGATTATTTATGTGATAGTGTGAGCAACTCCTCTGTTCTCCTCACCGGCCTTGAGACTTTAACTCTTTAACTTTAGTGTCTTGTCAAAAAATACAACAACAAACTCTGATCCAGAAGCAGCAGAATCCAGACTATTAAGAGGCTATATCAAGCTTTTGACCAGCAAGATCAAGAACGGTTTTAACAAAAGCTTTAGAGCCAGGCTTAACAAAAGAGAGATCTCAATTAAGTTGGCGGTCGTGGTAGTCTGTATTTTTTAGGAGGTCGAGTAAAACTTGAAACCAGAACCAGAGCGAGCAGCAAGAACTCTAGAATCTGCCTCTGCCTCTCCGAAAGGCCCAAACATTCTGCACCTACTCCATAGAACAAATTGCGATAACTTACTTGTCATTAAGAATGTTATGCATCAGCCAGCTTAACCACCAGCCGAAACGGTCATGTCATGGTGCTGGCCAACATAGGTTGCTGGGATCAGTAAACATTGCAACACTCGATCGAAGCCCTTTGCGATTTCAGTCACGGTCAGTCGTCAGTTCGTCAGTGTCGGTCAGTTTATTTTGATTTGTGCCATAACGAGACTACTTCCGTGTTACATGTCACCAGATCGACTACGGTGACGGTGTCCACGCAGTTATGTACCCTCCATAAAAAAAACTTGTCGTAATTGCTATGGGCTTGGCTGGAATGGAAACTTTCAAGTTAGCCTAGATCTAGATCTAGATCTAGATCTAGTACGCAGCACACCAAGGATGAAAAAGTTACATGTAGGCCATAATTATGTTTCAAGAAGTTTGTGTTACTTGACTAGTCCGTTTTTTTTTTAATTCCTGTTTTCTTAGTGATACAGAAAAAAAAACTTGAAATAAAAAGAAAATTGATGAGAAAATTATAAAGCATAAGACGTTTAAATAGGCCGCCTAAAAGTTTTTAATGTGAACGGTTGCTTTTTAAAATTTTGATGTTGTTTATTTTTCTCTTAATTGGGCGGAGGTGAGTGTAAACGGACTGTGAGTCTGGCTACGTTTGAGAATAATTAACCAGCGTCACCATTGTTAATACCATCAATATTTCCTATTAAAAAACGTAAGCTACCTGTACGGGTATACATGTATGTATGACACATTATGGACAATGCTCAGGATTGATAGGCCTATGCTTACACTTACACGCAAAGGGAATTAAATTAACTTAAGGGACCCGTGTGAATGAGGAGGAAGCTACCGCGAGGCAGTGAAATTTAGTGAAATGGGAAGGAGG